CCAATATCTCTACTGCTCTTGATAGACACTTGGAATCCATTCACATTGTACAGTCACGTAGAAAGGATGAAATTGTTAATGCTTCAAATCGGCAACGGCAAGGAGTGCCTAGATGCCAAGATGAAAGAGATGTTTTTGCCCTTGCTTCAGAAATTAAGAGATGTGTATGGCTACTCGGAAAGCACGCACTACTCTATGGTGCGCACTGCAGATGACCTTGCCAAAAACAGCAAGTACGGCTGGTCAAGCAGATGTGGAAAAGGCTTTCCAAGATATAGTAAACTGTGAAGAAAAAGTTCATGAAAGCATAAATAGTAGCAATCCAATGAACCAGAGAGGTGAAACAAACAAACATTAAGGAAATGCCAGCAGAAGGAAGAATTAAAAAGCTGATAAGTAAATGTATCAAGACATGCTAAAATTTTTAATGAACTTGTCAAACTTTCAGCACGTTAATTTTCTTTCAGATTTAAAGTTAATACCTTAATGAAGTCTAACTTCTATTTAAAAAACTACTTGGAATGAATGAGAATACAGTTTAAGGAAAATTCAAAGGTAAAGTTGACTACTCTAGGAGTTCTGAGTAGTCAAAGATAACAAGTTTATTTAAGTAAATTATTTCCTAACAGCTAAAATATTGCTTAATCCCATTCTGCAGTGCAGGTAAATGCAAATATGAAATTCTTCTAGGAGATAAGTTTCATTTAGTTCTGCCTTAGTTAGTATAATTCCAAATAATGAATCTTTAAATGACTGTAACCCAATTAAGGATACAGTCTAGTAACCAAGACAAGTTTTGATTGTGATATAAAAGTGTTTTCCTTACAAAACTGGATAATACCTAGGAAACAAAGGAAAACAGGGACAAACCCAATATTCATGTAAATTTAAAATAACTACCATATTTATAAATTTGAAATCTTAGTGTCTATATGGAGGGAAATGCATCTGATTCTCCTAAATTAGTGATAAAAGTGCCAGTGTAAAAACCATGCAAGTTACTGAATATAAAACCTGTTCAAATCATTTGTGTATATTCTTTAAAATTTAATTTTACTATCAATTATTAAATATTTCCAATTTTAAAGTATTTAAATTGAATCAAAACAAAACATTTCCTTTATCTGGATCTTTTAGACTTGATGCACAGTAACTAAAATAATGACTATTGTTTTAATACCCTTAGTTTGCTGTCTTTTATGAGGGTATCACGAAGTTCTAAAATGTATTTTTTTAAGGTTAATCTTTAACTAGTTTAGTTTGCAATTGGTTAGTGTATATTTTGTGTAGTTGTGTTCTTTAGTTTGCTTCTGTATTTTTTTTAAAAAGAGCACTTGAAAGATTGGCTTTTTCTGTTTCTCATCACTTAATATCTTTATATGGAACCCAAGTAATTTAATCATTAATATGAATTGTTGGTATTATGTGACTCAGGAGATCTTGGGTTTTAACATTTCTACATGAGTTAAACTATAATATAATGTACTGATGAAATTTAATTGAAATATCCTTGACTAGAAACACTGATGTTTTAAATGTTGGTGTTTTCCTTAGTTTTAGAAATCCTGATATTTAAAAAAAAAAGAGTGTAATCACACCACATAAATTTTCTTTAGATGATGTGCGGAAGAAACTGATTGAGAATGCACGAGTAACTGTAGGGAGAAACATTTTGATCACTGATATGCCTTAGAACTACCCAAATCAATTACATTGAAGGCAGTAAAATAAAACAGATCACCCCACCACAGTCACTGCACAGAAAGTGGTTAAGTTTGACATTAAGACATGTTGGATGTTCTGAAAACAAATATTGTACTGAATTTAGTCTCTCAGGAAGAAATAAATTACTTTGTTGAAAATATTTGGTTTCTTTTTTTTTACATTTGTATTAGTTATTAACCTTAAGAGTTGCTTATGTTGCTAGGACCAGTGGCTCACTCCTGTATTCCCAGCAGCTCAGGAGACTGAGACAGGAGGATTGCAAGTTTGATACTAACCTCAGTGATTTATGGAGGCCCTACAGATGTAGTGAGACCCTGTCTTGAAATAAAAAAAAGGGCTTGGAATGTGGCTTAGTGGTTAAGTGACCCTGAGTTCGATTACCAGTACTAAAAAAGTTACTCATGCCAAACTGAGCACAGTGGCACACACCTATAATCCCAACTGTCCAGGAGGCCAAAGCAGGAAAATAACAAGGTTAACAATTTAAACTCTTGTCTCAAAATAAAATTTGAAGAGCTGTGGATGTAACTCAGTAGTAAAGGGCCCCAGGTTCAATTAACATACCACACATACACAGTTATTCATGTCAGAAAACAACTGAATTTCATTTAACTGATAAGAACTTAAGTTCTTATTTAACAAGTATGTAATAATGTTGGTAGATTACTCCCACTCATATAGTTGGATCTCACCTGACCCTTCAAATATAAACTTTTACTCTGCCCATTAATCCAGGCAAACCAGAATAAAAATGACAGTGGTCAGAGAAATGTACCCCGGTCCATTAACAAAACACTTGAAAAGTATTTCTTTGAAATTTTGCTAAATCGTAAGTCACCTAGTAGGTAATTATTATATTGTCCCTTTCAATTGTATACCCTCTAACGGATGGTTCTTATTCATTGCATTTCTAAATATCAATTACAAAATTTGAAGTGATCTGTAAAGATGATATTCCCACCATTTATAAGCCAAAGAAATTTGGTATACTTTTTAATGGAAGAAGTTTATATAAAGGAATTAGGGGCTGGGATTGGGCTCAGTGGTAGAGCGCTCGCCTAGCACATGTGAGGCACTGGGTTCCATTCTTAGCACCGCATATAAATGAATGAATAAAATAAAGGTCTATCAACAAAAAAAATATATATAAAAGAATTTTTTAAAAAAGGAATATGAAATTATCTTCAATTATTGTATCAGTATTCTTCCTGCTTGAATAATTTGCTACTATAAAATTTTGGAGGGTTAGGAATGTTATGACTAAAATCCCAAATGTGACCTAAAATTCAATTTTACCCTAAAAGATATGGTTGTTTAAATTTTCCCTTTGTGATATCAATCATTTTAGATTTAGATGTAAAGGATTTATTAGCACCCAAGTTAAGTGGATAACATTTCTCAAAACCTACTGAACTAATTTTTTTTTTTCCGGTTTTAAGCATTAGAATGTACACTTAACTGTGACATACATAAGAGTCCCAGAAGAAAGAACTATTAAATTAAAACAAGTACCCTTCACGAATCCATGGATAAAATGACAGACTTCCTTTCCATGGGTAGCTGGAAAGAATCAGAATAAGACAGAAGATGGTGACTTTAAATAAAGTTTATTTTTTAAAAAATGTCGTTATTTTTGCAATGCCATGGTTAGAGGACTTTATGAAGAGGTAACATAATTTCCTTTTCCTTAACCATGCTTTTTATTTTCAACCTTCTGCACAAAGATAAAAGTTTTTGTTAATCTCATAGTTAATGATATAAAACAAAGGTCAGCAAACTTTCTTGAAAGGGCTAGACATTAAATAATTCAGGTTTTATCATGTGTTCTTTATCTTATAGCCTCTTGAAAATGTAAAAACCATTTTTAATTTGTACCATACAAAAAAAGATGGCCAAATTTGCCCTGTAGTTGGTAGTTTGCTGACTCGTGGTATAAAATATCTACTTTGTCTTATGAGAGAAAAATGCTCTTTAGGCTTCTGGACGGTCTACTACTGCCTGAAGTCAAGTAGAGAAGAGCCTTATTTATAACTGAATGTGGCTTGTGAAAAAGGTAGAAATGGAGAGTTCTTGCTCACTTTTGACTCTCCCAGGCAATTTTCCCATTCATTCATTCAATAAATTTGTTAAGCACCTACTATGTACACTCTTTAAGTATTTTTTATATTAGCAAGATTTCCAGTGTTTCTTTAAAAGGGCAATTCCTCCAGTTTCTCTAATCAGGAATTACCACGTCTTAATAGTCATGTTTTAGGGAAAATTGGGGTTAAAATTTCTACTGGCATTCAAGAGAATTCATGACTATAAAAAAAAATGAATCTAGCTTAACAATGATAATGTTGCACTCAATATTGACACATCCTTCTTAATGTCACAGCCTATATGAAGAAAAATATTTAACTATCTTAAAGATACTTTTTTATCCCATCAGTTGAAATTTTCTTTAAAAAAGATCTCAGATCTTAAACACACTCCAAATAATTTCTTCCCACTTTCTTAGTTTTCTGTCATGTAACATAAAATCCAATCCAAGTAGAGTTTTTCATTAGTTTTTCTTTTTGGCAGCACTGGGGATGGAAGCCAGCAGTGAGTCTCTAGGCCTTTTTTTTTTTTGAGACTGGTCTCACTAATTTGCCCAAACTGGCCTCAACTTGTAATCCTCCTGCCTCAGCCTCCCCAGGAGCTGGAATTACAGGTGTGTACCACACCACCAAGCTTCCTGATTAGCTTTATATATCAGCCATAAAACTATACTAAGGAGTAAATATTACCTCTGAAGTAAATTATACTTGTACTTTTCATCTCAGAGGAACGGTCATGTTTCTTTTCCCAGAAGAAAACCCTATTAGCTTTCTGAATCCTATTTATTCAAGGAAAATTAGGTGAGGGAAGACATTTTATAAAAAAGGAGCCAAAAGGAGCACAGAACTTCAGTATTAAAATATAAAGATTGCCCCAATTGCAGCTCTTTGGTACAGACATTAATTATCTGATCATCCACATCAGCAAAACATGGCACATTTTTGTAATTAAAAGTGATTGTGATTTTCCTTTTGACCATGTAAACAAAAGGGAAATGCCTTGGGAAAGAACTATGCAATGTTTTCTCATTTCTCTTAAATACACATTTGCAAAGCCAGTTTTCCTTTTCATCAAGTTCTTGAAGCAGGGGAAGAATTGAACAGGCCAGGGTTATCGCTTTCCCTCCCCTCTCTGTGTCCTTTTCTTTTCCTTTTCCTTGCGCTCCTGCTTGGCTAGTTTGTCTCTCTCCCTCTGCAGCTTGTCCTGTTCCTTCTTTCTTTGGGACTCATCCCGAAGTGAGTCTCTCTCCAATTTCCGAGCATTGAGGACATCTTCTACATTGGTGTTTCGAAATAGAGCTATAGGTGAGTTAAGGGATAAAGGTACAGGTCACAACTACAACTTTTCCTCATTCTTGCTGAGTCCTGAATGCCTTTATCTATTTCTAGTCTTAAAAAACCACCCTTGTGTGTCGCATGGTGATGCACTCCTGTAGTCCCATCGATTAGGGAGGCTGAGACGGCAGGATTGTGAGTTCAAAGCCAGCCTCAGCGATAGTGAGGGACTAAATAAATTACAAATTAGGGCTGGAGATGTGCTTCAGTGGTTGAGTGCCCCTGAGTTCAATCCCCAGTACCAAAACAAAACCATCCTTGTGTTTATCCTTGGTCTAATGGAAATCCTAAAGCTATCATTAATTATAGAAGATCTAAAATGTCCTCAGAAAAAAAAATCTCATTCAGACTTAAATCTGAATTTTTAAATATTTATCAGAGCTCAAGAGCTGGGGATATGGTTCAGTTACAGTGCTTGCCTATACACAAGGTCATGGGTTCAATCCCCAGCACCACACACACACAAAAGTGAATGCTCATTCAGGAATAGGTAGTTGTAGATGGACACAACACCTTTATTTTTATGTGCTGAGGCTCAAACCCAGTGCCTCACACGTGCTAGGCAAGTGCTTTACCACTCAGCCACAACCCCAGCCTAGGAATAGGTACTTAATAGCAGAACACTGCGGAGTATCTAGGGTTAGTGAGAACATTAATTTAACTGGAAAATGTTTATGTACTTTAAAATGCTTGAAAAGAGTTAAAAGGTTAACCTTACTAAATTTTATCCATTTGATTTTTTTCCCTAGGCCACTAAAGCTTAAGTGAAATCCATATTCTAATAACCATCAACTCTGAATTACAAGAAATATAAAATGTTTAACAGAAAATAACTGGCCAAAAATTGTACTGCTTATTTCTTTTAACTTTGAAAACAAAACCTGTTAATATTAGACAAGCTTCTCTCCACTCTTAAAATATGACTTTTTTTCTTTAGTGCTTTAAAATAAATGAGTCTCAAGCTGAGAGTACGATTCAGTAATAGATCCCTGGATTTAATCCCCAGCACCAAAAATAAATGGGTCTCTCTGAATTAACTTCCCCTTCTCTTGACAATCTATATCAAACCCTTCATTTTTGGGGGTGGGAGGGTACGGGGGATTGAACTAAGTAGCACTCAAGCAATGAACCACATCCCCAGCCCTATTTTTGTATTTTATTTAGAGACAGGGTCTTACAGAGTTGCTTAGTGCCTCACTTTTACCGAGGCTGGCTCAGAATTTGCGATCCTCCCATCTCAGCCTCCCCTGTGACTGGGATTACAGGCATGCGCCAAGGTACCTGGCATCATATCTTTATCATGAATTTTCAGCCAGGCCCTCTAGTGCATGCCTGTAATCCCAGCAGTTTGGGAGACTGAGGCAGGAGGATCACGAGTTCAAAGCCAGTCTTGGCAATTTAGCGTGGCCCTAAGCAACTCAGTGAGACCCTATCTCAAAGTAAACTATAAAAAAGGGCTGTGGATGGGGCTCAGTGGTTAAGTGCTCCTGGGTTCAATCCCCACTACGAAATAAGTAAAGTGAATTTTCTGTGTGTGTGTGTGGTATTGGAAAATTGAACGCAGTAGTATTCTACCACCAAATTATATCCCCAATTACATGCCCCTGCCCTTTTTTTTTGGGGGGGGGGAGGTCATGTTCTTTTTTATGGCATTAGAGACTGAATGCAGGGCTTCTGAGTGCTACCTACCACTCTGTACTCTACCACTAAGCTACATCCCCAGGCTCCCGAGGCAGGGTTTCACTAAAAATTGTCCATTCTAGCCTCAAGTTTTGTGATCCTCCTGTCTCAATCTCCAGAGTAGCTGCAATTACAGGCAAGTACCACCACACCCAGCTTAATGTAGATTTTTTTTTTTTTTTTTTTGGAAGACAGGTATTGGGGATTGAACCCAAGGGCACTCTATCTCTCAGCTACACCTCCAGTCCTTTTTTATCTGTTTTTTTTTGGTTGGAAGGCGGGAGGTGGGGGGGGGATTGAAAGCAGGCACCATTCCCACATCCCCAGCTGGTTTTATAATTTAGGATAAGCTCTCATTAAGTTGCTTAGGGCCCTGCTAAGTTACTAAGGCTGGCTTTGAACTTGTGATCCTCCTGCCTTAGCCTCCCAAGCCACTGATTATAAGCACACCCAGCCTATTTGAGTTGCTGAGGCTAGCCTCAAACTTTCGGTCCTCCTGACTCAGCCTCCTGAGTTGCTAAAATTACAAGTGTGCATCACCCACCTGGCTTAAGGTATATTTCTAAACCCATCTTCTCTAGGAAATTATTCTGTTGGTCAGAACCTTTCTCAACACATGTTTCAATATGTTTATATTATTAGTATTCATTCTGTTCTCTTTCTAAGAAATTATAAAGTTTTTGAGAATAAACACAAAACTTCAATATTATTTTAATTATTTCCATAATGGTAGGCAACCCAGAGCTGCACACAGGGAGTACAGATGTTCATTTTTCCTTAGAAATTCTTCTTGCTGGGGCTGTGGCTCAGTGGTAGAGCACTTGCTTAGCACATGTGAGGCACTGGATTCGATCCTCAGCACCACATAAAAATAAAAGGTTTTGTGTCCATCTACAACTAAAAATAAAATTTTTAAAAAAGAAGAAAAGAAGAAAGAAAATAGTACTTGTTAACTTTTTTTCTTTGCGGAATATGCTTGATAAATTGACCATCTGTACTCCCAATGCTGGCATGAGTTCCTGCAGGTAACAGGAAGTACTAGCAATGACAAAATAAAAATTGATGCCCAAGAGAATTCCATGGAGAAACACATGGGGCTGGTCACAAAGAAGGATACATTTATCTGAACCAATGTTCATCGTGGTGGCAACTGAATCATCCTTCTCATCTGCTTCAGTAAGTGATGTTAAGGAAAACTGGATGGAAAACAAAGGTTCACACATCCCAACTCAGTATTTAAAAATACTCTGTAGATTGGTGGAGAGGAAAAGCTGTCTGAATGGAAAAAGGACTTTTGTCCGGAATGTGATAGTAAACCCCAGAGATTCATCTTTGGAAATCTCAATTTAGGAAGAGGAAGATTGTTCTAAGCTTCTCTTACAATTCTTTTTTTCTTTTTTCTTTTGGACTGGGGATTTAACCCAGGGACACTTAATCACTGAACTACATCTCCATCCCTTTCTATTTTATTTTGAAATAGGTTCTTACCAAATTGCTGAGGCTGACCTTGGACTTAAGATCCTCCTGTCTCAGCCTCCTGAGTTAATGGGATTATGGGCATATAGCACCTTCCACAGCAAAAGTCTTTTCTTAGAGGCTAAAAACAAACTTAAGTTGATCTGGGTAGACTGTCACATTATCTGAAAGCCAGGAGACAATGAAATGACCTCTAAAACAATGATTCTCAAAGGGCTATTTACAGAGGCCTCCTGGGAACTTATTAGAAATTCTTGGGCTCCAATCTGAACCAACTTAATCAGAAACTCTGGGGAGGGAGTATAAAGCCCAGAAATTCATGTGATAACACATTCTCCAGGGGAATGAATGCTTTAAAAGTTCTTATTTTTTTGGTGGAGGGAACCAGGGATTTAACCCAGAAGTGCTTTACTCATGTGCTTTATCCCCAGCCCTATTTGGCGGGGGTAGGGATGGGGGGGGCACTACTGGGGATTTAACCGAGGGGCACTTCCCACTGAACTACCTCTCCAGCCCTTTTTATTTTTTGAGACTTGACATCCTCCTGCTTCAGCCTCCTAAGTCACTGGAATCACAGGCATGAACCATTGTACCCAGCTTAAAAGTTGTTTTTTCCAATGGTGGAAAAAAATAAAGTTCTATTCTAACCCAAGAACTGAGATTTTATTTATCATTGGAACCATACTCTGCTAACCCTAGTAAGAAAAGTTGTGAGGAAAAAGCATAAAAGAAACTGTCTCCAAAGCACCCAAGTATTCTTTCCTAAATAGTGATTAGCCAGCTGATATTTCTGGGATGATGTCTACTGTATAATGAGCCACATACTTCATTTAAGTAGGCTCTGTAAGCTAAGCATTTCCTAAGTAAATTTCAAATTTACAGGGAACTAAATCTGCCCCTACTTACACTACTTTCTTTTTGTACAGTTCCCACACTCAGATTCTAATTTATTTTGGTAGTGTTTAGGGATTCGGCTTTACTTTTAACTATGGTCACATTAAAAAGATTTGAATTAAATGGCTCCTAAGTTAGGGTATCCTTCACCCAAAGGCATCCAAGTTCTAGTCCTGATTTTGCCACTGATTTTCTGAATGCCTGTGATCACTCATCATCTTAGTGTTATCAGTGTCTTTACTGACTGGAAAAGAAAAGAAAGATGGGTTATACATGTGACAGTACACATGTACATGCAAATATAAGGAATCACAGCTATATCTTCTTTTCTGAAAGCACAACATACTGGTTCACTAAGGCATTATTTACACTGAGTTTTCAGAAATGTACTTCTGAAAATAAAAGTCTAGGCAGAGAGTGTAGCTCAGTGATAGAGTACATGCTTAACATGCATGAGGTCCTGGGTTCATTCCTTAGCACCAAAGTACATATTTATCTCCAGTATCAACTATTCCAACTCATTTCTCGTATCCATCAAGGGCCATAGATCTTTGCCATTTTAGAGAAGAAAATTAAACTATGGCGGGTGATTGACAATTTCCTAAAGAGCACTGTAAACCATCAACACTTCTGGTGTCACCCTCAGGGAATGGTGCCGAGATTCCAGAAAGGATATTCCTCTTCATCTGTTACATCGGCATACTGGGCCAGCAGGGCAGCTTTTCTCTGTTTTTCCTCTTCCGACACCATCCTGGGCTTCACCACAATCTGTGCCTGCTTCTCAATGAGGGTGGCAATGGCCTGTACCTCATCTGGAAGGCAGAAGAGAGGGAAAACACATTTGTATGACAGAAAACAAGCTCACCCAACCACCAGCTCACCAGGGCAGTGCTTGTAAAAGACACTGGCAACTGCTGACTCAAAGGTCCTAGGGTTCAAAGAACATGCCTCAGGGGCATGTGAGACAGGAAAGGAAAGGCCATGCAGGCCAGGCATGGTCTTACATCCATCTTCAATCACAGCAGCCCTGATTTTATTTGATTTATACGTTGATTTGGCCGCTTAAAAAAAAAAAAAAGGTGGAAAAGCACTGCATTAGAATCATAGATAAGCTTCTTCTAAACAGGCAATTTTCTCTTCTCTTATTCCAGAAACCTAAGAAAGACTCCAGAATCAACTAAGGCTGATCGCTTTCATGTTTATAACTGTGCCAAGTACAATGCTTGAACTAAAAATATTTTGCCTTATTTTAAAATAAGATCAACTACTAAGTTCTCCATCCTGAAGGAAAGGAAGCAATGGTGCAAAGTAGGGGCTCTCACACCTGGCTGTACATTAGAACCTTCTAGAGGAGTTTTTTAAAAACACCAATACCTGGAGTCCAACCCTAGTATATCAAGTGATTCTAATGTATAGGAAAGACTGAAAACCAAGGGTGAAGTTTATTTTCATTTATTTATTTGTTTATTTATTTAACACTTTTTTTAGATGTTGATGGACCTTTATTTTGTTCATTTATTTATATGTGGTGCTGAGAATCGAACCCAGTGTGTCATACATGCTAGGCAAGCACTCTACTAATGAGCCATGAACCCAGCCCCTAAGGGTGTAGTTTAGATTCTTCTCAAGTTTGATTTTTATAAATTGAGTTTTCTGCAACTAATTAAAATATAGCCCATTTATTTTGCATTTTAAAGGGTAAATGATTTAGCTGAATAAACCAAAATCCCAACCATAATTTGTGTTTTGAAAAGAGAACATAAAAAAGATGGGAGGTGAGAAAAATATATACCCATATGTGCTGTGGAGAGAGGATGAAAGGAAAGCAAAAACCACAATGAAGGTAACTGTGGTCAGGCTAAAATGGACAAATGCAAAAGGAAAAGGAAATCCGGCTTCTCAAGTGTTCGCCAGTATAAATCATCTCAGGAAGAATGAGAATCCATAGGAGAAAATGAAACACCCTCTCCCAAAGAGCTGTACAGTAAGGCTTTTAGAAAGGACCCTTGAGGTCACACACCAAAATGCCACACAGAAACACCAACTCTACCTTCTTTTTTCACTTTGGTGACAACATTCTGAGTTTCAGACCATCGTTCCACAATCTCCTTGCAGATATTAAGGAGCGAATCTTCTTCCTAGTTGCAAAAGTAGATTGATTAATTTTCTGAGAGAGTTCTCCAAAACAGCAGCAACCTTAAAAAGGCCTATGCAGAGGGCACAGCTCTCCCTGCCAGAGTTGAGAAGAGATCCTAGGAAGATTTTGGGAGCCACAGAATATGTCTCTATGGGCACAGAAGGAATTCGGTGTGTTTGTCCCAAAATCCACACCTGCTAGATCAAGAGCACCTACTCCATCCTGCCAAGCTCCAGGGTAAAAGATTCCCACCAGCTCAGGGCAGTCCTCATCCTCAAAAAAAATAAATTCATGGGGCTGGGGATGTGGCTCAGGCGGTAGTGCGCTCGCCTGGCATGCGTGCGACCCGGGTTCGATCCTCAGCACCACATACCAACAAAGATGTTGTGTCCGCCGAGAACTGAAAAATAAATATTAAAAATTCTCTCTCTCTCTCTCTCTCTCTCTCTCAAAAAAAATTTTTAAAAAAATAAATTCATTAATTAATTTTAAAAAATTTTATACAATATGATGTTTTGATATATGTTTACATTGGGCATGATACTATGAAACTAACAGGTTCATAATCTTACATATTTGTCAGTTTCTTATAGTGAAAACATTTAAAATTTACTCTCAGCAATTCTGAAACACATTATTATTTTAGTCACCATTCTGTGCCATAGCTCATTAAAGCTTATTTCTTGTCTCAGTGAAATTTTCTACTTGTCATCAGCATCTCCCATTTTCCCTTCCCCACTCTCGCCTTACTTTTTTTTTTTTTGGTCAGGGTACCAGGGTTTGAACCCAGGGGCACTTAATTACTGAGCTACATCCCCAGCCCTATTTTGTATTTTATTTAGAGACAGGGTCTCACTGAGTTGCTTAGCACCTCGTTTTTGTTGAGGCTGGCTTTGAACTCAAGATCCTCCTGCTTCAGCCTCCAGAGCTGCTGGGATTACAGATGTGCACCTCTGTGCCCGGCTCTCCTTATCTTTTATTATTAATTTTTTTTGATACCAGGGATTGAATTCCAGATCTATGAGCAAGTTTCTTTATGTCTGGTTCAGAAAAAAACTGAACTAAGGAATGCTGCTTTACCACTGAGGAACATCCCTAAACCTTTTTTTTTTTGGAGATAGGAATTTGCTAAATCACAGGCCTAAAACCTGTGATTCACTTGTCTACAACCTTCCAAGTAAGTAGATGGGATTACAGGCCTGCACCACCCTGCCTGGCTTATGAACAAAACTTTCTGAACTTCACATCTTCCCAGGATTTTAGTGAGGATAAATAAAAATGTGTATACAGTGCCTAGTCTACTTGGCAAAGCATAGGCATTCAAAAATATGGGCATTCTTGGGACTGTGGTTGTAGCTCAGTGGTAGAGCACTTGCCTAGCATGTGTGAGGCACTGGGTCTAATCCTTAGCACCCCATAAAAGTAAATAAAGTAAAGGTATTGTGTCCATCTAAAACTAAAAATAAATAAATTTTATACACACACACACACACACACACACACACACACACACACACATTCTCTCCATGTTCATTGTGTCTACCTTCACCAGCTTCCTGTTCTACTTCACAGGGCAAGGTATCAGAGTTCACATTTATTAGGTGCTTACCCCATCTGCTAGGCACTTGTACTAAAACTTTACATAAAAATTCTCAATTCACCAGGTGTTGTGGGGGCGCACAACTGTAATCCAAGAGACTTGGGAGACTTGAAACAGGAGGATCACAGGCTCAAGATCAGCCTCAGTAACTTAGGCCCTAAGCAACAAGACAGTCTCAAAATAGAAAAAAAAAATCTGGTTGGGGATGTGGCTCAGTGGTTGTGGGCCCCTGGGTTCAATCTCTAGTATCCTCCCCCCAAAAAAACAACAACAAAAAAAACACCTCAATTTGCAACTGGGTACAGTGGCACATGCCTGAATCCCAGCAGCCTAGGAGGCAGAGACAGGAGGATCAAAAATTCAAGGACAGCCTCGGTAACTTAGCAAGGACCTAATCAACTTAGTGAGATTCTGTCTCAAAATAAAAAATAAAAAGGTTGGGAATGTAGCTCAGTGGTAAACTGCCCCTGGGTTAGATTCCAAGTTTAAAAAAAAAAAAAAAAAGAATTCTCAAGTTTTAAAACAATTACGTAGGAGCTGGGGTTGTGGCTCAGAGGAAGAATGCTCGCCTAACATGTGTGAGGCACTGGGTTCGATCCTCAGTACCACATAAAGATAAAATAAAGGTACTGTGTCTACCTACAACTAAAAAATAAATGTTAAGGAAAAAAAACAATTACATAAAGTATTACTATTGTTATTCAATTTATATATGAGGAAACCAAAGTACAGAGGTTAAGTAACTTGCTCAAGGTCATACAAGTAATAATGGATTAAAGAAGACTTAAGGTGGATGCACATGACTATAATCCCAGTGACTTGGGAGGATGAGGGAAGAGGATCACAAGTTCAAAACCAGCCTCAGAAACTTAGTGAGGCCCTAAGAAACTTGGCAAAAAATCTGTCTCTAAATAAAACATAAAAAAGGGCTGGAGATGTGGCTCAGTGGTTGAGCGCCCCTGGTTTAATCCCTAGTACCAAAATAAAGATAATAATAAACTGGGCATGGTGGCGCACGCCTGTAATCCCAGCAGTTCAGGAGGCTGAGCAGGAGGATCTTGAGTTTGAAGCCAGCCTCAACAAAAAGCGAGGTACTGAACAACTCAGTGAGACTGTCTCTAAATAAAATACAAAATAAGGCTGGGGATGTGGCTCAGTGGTAGAAGGCCCCCGACTTCAATCCCTGGCACCCCAAAAAAATATAAATAATAAAGAGGACTTGAACCCAAGGAATCTAGCTAAGAGCCTATACTCTTCACCACTGTATTATGCTATCCTAAAGAAAAAAGAACAAGTCTTATTGTGATACCCTTGTTCTGTATCAACAAAGGATTTTCCTAAACCATTCATCCTTTTACTGCATGACCTAGACACACAGAAACTTCTTTGGGTCAGAGCTTCCATAATTCATAGACTTTCCAGCAGGGAAAGCAAAGGAACAGGGAAAGAAAAAAGGATTAGAAAAGAAGTGGAGAGCCAAATAAAAAGGATATTCTTGGAGAACAAACTGGTTTATTCCCTGTTTCCTCACCTAAACCAAAGCAATTCAATTATCATTCTTTCTTTTATTCATTCAGAAAGTGCCTGCTTTGTTCAGTATACTAAGATGTGAACCAGGAAATTAATGAAAAATAGTGCCTGGCTTCATACACAATTTAGGAGGTTGGTATATAAACAGTTGCCATAAAATATAACCCCCTAACTATCCTACATAAAATTATAACCTACCCTCTATTGCACTTCTGATCTTCTTAAAACGCCCCCTTTCCCTAGCACTTATTAGTTTCCTAACATAGCACTATAATTTACTGGGAAAACTTTTCCCTTCTAGATTATAACCCCAGAAGGGCAGAAATTTCTATTTTGCAGTAACGGTAGTACCTGGCATACAGTAATCCATCAATAAAAATGTGATGAACCAATCAATCAATCAGTGCAAGTACTACTGGGCAGAATAAAAGAAAAGATGATAGAAAGCTTTTATTTATTGTTATTGGCTCCGTCATTATTCTTGGATTTATTTATTTACATATTTATTTATAATTTATTTATTTATTGGTACTGGGGATCAAACCCAGGGCTTTGTGCATTCAAGGTAAGCACTCTACCAACTGAGCTATCCCCAGCCCACTATTCTTGAATCTTATCTCAAATTATTGCTAACAAATTTCATTATTTCTAATATTGAATCCTAGCCCAATTTGGCAACTTGGTTTGGCCCTGGTTTTTGTTTTTCCTAGAAAGAAATGTGATACAAAAGTCAGGGACCTTTGGCATTACATGCTGCCAGACTGACTGACTGACAGCAGCACTTTGAATTATATGCTTAATACAAACCATATTTCTTGGCTCTTTTTGTTCTGTAAAGATGCTCCTCATATTTTATGGACAAGAACCTTGTCTCACTTTATGATTTCTGGTCTATTTTTCCCAGAGTCAGTTTCTATATAGAAGAAAATTAAACTAGTATGTGAATTGGACAGTGCAATGAAGTCAACCTTAAAAATGATTTTGTTGGGCTGGATATGTAGCTTAGTGGTAGAGTGTTTGCCTAATGTGTGCAATGCTGGTTCAATAACAAGAAATGGGGGGAAATTTTTTTTTTTTTGCAGCTTATGCAACAACATGGAAACCCAAAGAACCAACTCTGTTTCTAAATTACTTTGCCTTTTCTATCAAGTGTCTGCTAAAAAAATAAAAAAGTATGAGGCAAACACGTTTCCCTTTACCAATAGAGCCATAGCTTCAAATATTGACACCATGAAAAGGGCTGGTTAAGGAGCTAGTGCAAAGAAGTACCAAAGTTTTCTGTTTTGGAAAGGGGGCTGTACTGGGGATTGAACCCAGGGGAGCTCAAGCACTGAGCCACATATCCAGCCCTTTTTATTTTGAGACAGGGTCTCACTAAGTTGCTTAGGGTCTTGTTAAATTGCTGAGGCTGGCTTTGAACTTGAGATCCTCCTGCCTCTGCCTCCTGAGCTAATGGGATTACAGGCATATGCCACCATGCCCAGCTCAAGTTATTTTAACAACATTTTCATGGAGTCATTAGAAATTTCTCAGTTGGAAATAAAAATGAGAATTCTGGGCTGGGGATATAGCTCAGTTGGTAGAGTGCTTTCTTTGCATGCACAAGGCCGTGGGTTTAATCCCCAGCACACACAAAAACAAAAATTCCTTGTCTTTGTTCTTTTTCTCCTATAATCTACAATATCAGGGTATAAGAAAAGAATGTATTCAGCCAGGCATGGCGGAGCACACCAATAATCCCAGTGACTCAGGAGGCTGAGACAGGAGGAGTGTAAGTTCAAAGCCAGCATTAACAGATTAGTGAGGCCCTCAGCATAAAGAAAGAACTAAATGAAGGAAATAGAGAGGAAAGGCGGCTCAACAGTAAAACAGGTTTATTTGGGACAAACCTGTGGAAGGGGGCCCAGTGGAGACTGAGACTCATCTTCCATTTATAGCCTTGGATAGATGTAGGGGCATGAGGGAGTGAGGGAATTTTGAGGGTTAGGCTGTTGCTAGGGGGTTGTCAGGGAAGGATCCTTGTGGTCCTCAACTCTTATCTTTGAGGTGGTCACTGTTCCTGTCAAACCTGATATTTTTCAGGATTTTAATCCCAGATAACAATTTCCTTTCTTTGTATGATGATGAAATATTGTTTGGGGTTTCTTTCTATGATGATGGAATATTGTCTGGGGTGACTCTTATTCTGAAAGGGAGGATGTGTTTCAAAATAGCGTTGTCTATGTCAAGTTCTTACTAACAATCAGCAACTTAGTGAGACCCTGTATCAAAAAATAAAAAGGGCTGAGGTAGCTCAGTGGTAAATCAATCCCAGGTTCAATCCCCAGAACCCCCTCCCCTCAAAACAAAACAAAAAAACACTACATTGAATTTCCACTGAACTACCAAGCTGCCTTACAAACTGTGCTATAGCTTTCCCCTTTATGGGCCAATCTCGCCAGAGCAGGTTCTGGGACTCAAAGAGGTTCTTGCCAGAGGGATCTGGGATACCTACATTACTGTTATATTTCAACCATGTGCCAAAGAATGAACTACACTTCCATCAAGTGTAATTCATTTTTTCCTTGCATGTGCCACCTGTAGTTGAAAAAAATGTTTTCTGCCTTCTATACTTCTCTATAAAATACACATATACATATTTCTATCTATATTTTCATAGCATCTTTTGATTCTGGTTTGTTTTTTGTTGTTGTTGTTTTGTTTTGTTTTTTTGGTCTGTGTATGTAGTGCTGGGGATTGAACCCAGGGATTTACTACTGAACTACACTCCTAGCCTTTTTTTTTTTAGGTGTAGATGGACACAACACAATGTCTTTACTTTTTATGTGGTGCTGAGAATCGAACCCAGGTCCCACTTATGCGAGGTGAGCGCTCTACCGCTGAGCCACCCAGCCCCCTTTTTGTTTTTGAGACAGTGACTTACTAAATTGCGGAGCCTGGCCTCTTTCTATTTTACAGTCTTCTCACCCTAGTCCTCTCAGTAGCTGGGATTACAAGCATGTGCCACCATGCTTATCCTTATTCACTTTTTAAACAGTCCCTGTTTAAAATTGGCTTGAAGAATTGCAAATGAGGGGGGCCAGGGTTATGGCTCAGTGCACAGTGCTTGCTTAGTATGGGTGAGGGTTCAATCCCCAGCACCACAAAAAATAAACAAATAAAATAAAGGTATTGTGTCCATTTACAACTAAAAAATATTTTAAAAATTAAAAAAAAAAAAAAAAGGAATAGCAAATAATGGGTTGGGGTTGTGGCTCAGTGGTAGAGTGCTTGCCTAGCATGTGTGAGGCACTGGCTTCAATTCTCAGCATCAAATATAAATAAATTAATAAAATAAAGGTCCATCAATATCTTTAAAAAAAAAAGAATAATAAATGAATTCATTCTACAAACCTGTACAAACCTGAGCACTTACCAAGAAAAAAATAATGCTTTTGATGAACTGGCAGCTTTCACAGTAGCAGTCCAATTTCCACATCTCTTCTAAACCATGAATGCAGAGACAACTCTAGTGTCTACATATAGTATTTAGTGATGACACAAATAAATTTTATCTTTGAGATTGTTGTATTTTATCTTATTTTTTTAAAAGAGGTGAATATTGAGCATCCCGGTTTTTTTTTAAATAATGTTATTGTACTTTTTATACACTTATTTTATTTGTTTTTATGTGGTGTTGAGGATCAAACACACATTAGGCAAGCCCTCTTCCACTGAGCTACAACCGCAGTCTTGAGATTGTTGTATTTTAAAAGAATCTGATGGACAGCCAGACAGCACTTGTAGCCAATCTACTCTAGAGTCGCCATCTAAGAATTGTGCGCTGGAGGTGAGAGAAATGGGAATAAGGCAGAATGATCAGATTGGAAAAGTGGACATTTTAATCATTTACTACAGGTAAAAAGTTTAAAGTAAGCATTTCTGAATCAATTTGCTTCTAAGAGTCTAAATACAAACTTTATCTTTTTAAATTTTTTCTAATCACTCCCCCCTAAACACACACATACACACACACACCCCGATTACTTAATTTCTTAATATTGTAAAGATTCAAGCACAACATTTGCTTCAGTTCCACCCGCCATGAAAAGATCCTTAGCACGAGGTTACCTTTTTTGGCCTCCTACTCCGAAAGAAGAACCTGAGAGGAGATTTCCTACAGGCTTTTGTCATGGGACAGCCCTAGGTACTGCTCCCAGGGTAAACAAACATCCCAAGAACATTTTATTCTCCACTCTCAACACTAAATGGATGGGAATGGAATTGGTTTGTAGACGTTTTAGCTAAAACTCTCATTTTAGACATCCCAGCGCCTTCATAAGAACATTCTGCAACTTACCCACAGGCATCCGAGAGGGCCTCGTTCCCAGGAATAAGGGAAAGACATTCTTCTCGAAGCACCTGCAACCTTCAAGCTTCCCAAAACCTGGTTTGGGAGCAACCTCCTTCATCCATAGCCTAGAGCTAGAAATGTACTTCTCCCAGGTGACACCACTAAGCCTTCGTGACGCCGGGTAGGGGTAGCGGGATGCGAAGCACTGACTGGGATCCTCCGATGCCGGCCTAAGGCTGAAGGATGGGTCCGGGCTACTCACCAGAAAAGCAGACAGGATACCCTGCAGAGCGTCCAACTTCTCTTCTTCCTCCTCCTCCTGCAGGACACCAAGGATGTAGGAACCGTAAACGGCTTGGTCCACTCCCAGCGCCTCCAACCGTCCGTCCAGCCAGGATCCAAAACCCCCACCCCCGCCATCACTTTCGCCAGAGGTTGCCGCGGCCACTTCGCAGGGCGCCGCCATCTTGGGGTCAGGGTCCTGCCAGCCCCCAGGGTGCCTACCGCAGTGCCTGACGGGCCGCGCCGCGGGCCCAGCGCGCATGCCCGGAGAGGAAGCTCACGCCCCCGCGCGCCGGGCTTGTGACCTGCTTCGGTATTTCTTACCTTCCTAGCAAAGCGCGTGTTCGGTTTCGCACTGTCAGTCAATCGCACAGGAACTCCGGCAGGTGAGTATCTTTAACAGACTCTTTTTCAACTGTGAATGTTCACAGAGGTTCAGTAACTTGGCCAAAGTCACAGGACTGGACCTGAACGTCGATTCCAGCGCTTCCTCCCATCTCACCGAGCTGCCCTTCCACGAGCCCTCGTAGGGTGCTAAGCCACCCACTCTCCCATGGCTTTTGAGCAGGGACCTGCTGCTTCTACCGGGAATATCCACCATCGCTACCGACTCCTGCCATCATCTCCACGCCAAACCCCACTCCCTGAAAACACAAGCTCCAGAACCCTTTCTTAATTCCTTTCTGTCTGCGTTAAGAACTCTGCAGTGTGCTGCATTTCTTTTTTTTCTTTTTTTTTTTTAAAGAGAGAGAATTTTTTTTAATATTTATTTATTTTTTTTAGTTCTCGGCGGACACAACATCTTTGTTGGTATGTGGTGCTGAGGACCCAACCTGGGCCACACGCATGCCAGGCGAGCGCGCTACCGCTTGAGCCACATCCCCAGCCCATGCATTTATTTCAATGCAGTCGTCGTGCTGTACTTATTGCAGTACCAACAAATATTAGGTGCTCAATAAATGTACAGGCACCTTAATTTTATTTCTTTTATTCATTGGTTCCACGTTTACACAGGAATACCTTTAGAGCTACTTTATCCTCCGCCAGGCATTGTACTAAGATCTTTTCATGCATTATCTCTTGTAATCCTCTCTACAACTCTGAGAAAATGCTTTTATTATCTGCACTTTGGGTTTTGGTTTGTTTCCCTCCTCCCCCATTTCTTTCGGAGGCAGGGGGTAACGGATTAAAACCCAGGGATGCTTAACCATTAAGCCACATCCCCAGACCTTTTATTTTTTGACACAGGGTCTCACTAAATTGCTTAGAGCCTCGCTAAGTCGCTGAAGCTGGCAGACAAGTTTGCAGTATCATATATGAATCCCTTAAGGTCAGGGCTTGATTTAGCGTTTGACCTGTGAAAAAAGAAGTCTTCCTTAACAAAAGGGAGGATTATTTTATTTATGACTTTTTCTTGGAGAGGGGGTGGGCACTTTATGGAAATGGGGATTCACCATTTTTTTTTTCCTTATATGGACTGGTTATGGTCTGGGTAGAAAGCAGTTCTGACCAAAATGGTGTTGACAGACCTTTTGTAGTGCATTACAGAAGAATGGGAATGAGTTGGGGGGTGAGAGGGCAGAAACTGGTCTTGCCTGGTTCCAGTTTGTTCTTTTTTGGAGCCAGGTAGGTGGTTATCCAACTTGCTTATCTCTAGGACACAAAAAGCATGGCATATATATTGTGTGAACCCATGAGAAAAAATACAATTGTCATTCTGAGGACAAGCAACTTGATCTTTGTTTTGAGATGAGTAGGTTCTTGGAGAAAGAGAAAAAGAGACTGTTAGTAGGTGGGGAGCCAGATTTAGGAGGATGACTTGTCCTTTTAGTTAGATGAACAAAACCTTCAACTTGTAACAGATCAACTAGAACAAAAATATATTATTTATTTAAATGTCATCAGGTTCAAAGATTTACACAGTGGGTCCACGAATCATTTATGGGTAGACTGTTGACCAAAGAGTACTATTCTGAACCCAGGTACAGAATGATTGTCATGGAATTTTATTTTCAAGAAGCTTGTCCGAGAACCTGCACTTTTATTCCCTGAAAAGTCCTATGTATATAATCAGAGAGCTTAACCCTGGGCATATCACCTGTCTTGTCTTCTCTAAGAAGAATAGAGTGCCCACTCTCTTTGTGTACTCTTTTGTTGTGGCCTTCAATAAATCTTTGCTTGTGGGGCAACTGGTGTAGCTGTGAGGTCCTGGTTGGATCCCCAACACCACCAAAAAGAAAAAATCTTTGCTTGTGGGGCTGGGACTGTGGCTCAGCAGTAGAGCGGCTCACCTAACACGTGCGAGGTGCTGGGTTCGATCCTCAGCACCACATAAAAATAAAGAAAGATAAAAATACAAAGAAGAAAATATTTTTTAAAAAATCTTTGCTTGTGCTTCACTTTCTCATATGTCCTGAAATTCTTCTCCAGAAGCCATCAAGAACCTGCCCAGGCCCAATTGAGATCCCCTTTCCTTTGGAGGGACTTCCTTGGACCCCTGTCAGGTGACAGTTTTTCCGTAGTTACTTATGGGTTGATATTTATGAATGTTACAAATGCAAGTGTTGAAATACAGGATAGTCACATTCTGTAAACTGAACACACAGTAAAATGTACTGGAGCCATGTGTACACCTTTAATTCCAGCAGCCCCAGTGGCTGAGGCAGGAGCATCATGAGTTCAAAGCCAGCCTCAGCAAAAGCAAGTTGCTAAGCAATTCAGTGAGACCCTGACTCTAAATAAAATACAAAATGGGGTGGGGATGTGGCTCAGTGGTCAAGTGCCCTGAGTTCAATTCCTGGTTACCCCTCCAAAAAAGTAAAGTGTACTGGAGAAATCTCAAAACAACTTGTGTTTGGTGATGATACTAGCTTCATAGAATTAGTTGTATTGGAATGAGAGAATTCAATTTTTAAAATTATGATAGAGCTTGACATGAAGTTGTACAGCTGGCAGTAAAGGATGTTGCAAATGTTAGTCCCATGGCTTCTCTGTTTCTCTGAATAAGAATGGAACACTAATGAAGTCAGAGGATAGAAGCAACCCCCAAAGACTTGCCTCTTTGTCATGTTCACAGATGTGCCTATTTATTTATTTGGGGACTGGTCATGGAACCCAGGACCTTGTGCATGTGAAGTACATTCTCTACCACTGAGTTACAGTCTCAGCTCCAGATAGTCCAGTGGTGTTGCTTATCAGTTTACAGACTTGGGACGCCCCCCACCCCCACCCCCTGGCCCCATGGCTCTAGGATGAGTTTGAGCTATGCCTGTAATCCCAGCTACTCAAAAGGCTGAGGCAGGAGGATCATAAGCTGGAGGCCAGCATGGGCAATTTAGCAAGACTGCCACAAAATAAAAATTTAAAGGGGATGGTGGTATAGCGTAGTGGTAAAGCCCCTGGGTTCAATCCCCAGAACCAAAAAAAAAAAAAAGAGATGCTCAGGCATAGGCTATCTCCCTCTGAAGATGGCCCTGTGTTCTTTCTTTAACATGTTTTTCCTTCCTTTATCCCCATACTTTTCACCCTCAAGATGGCCAGCATTATCCCTTGAATGTGCATTTCTTTCTTCATCCAAAAGATTCCCTCCCCCACATTTATATCTACTCATTCTCCCTTGAATATGTATCTGCTTTCCAAATAAATCTGTCTCTGAAAAATTAAATATGCTCAATAACATTCATTTTTAAGAAGATGAAAATTAGGGCTGGGGTAGAGTGCTTGCCTTGCACGTGTGAGGCATTGGGTTCGATCCTCAGCATCACATGAAAATTAATAAACAAAACCAAGGTAAAAAAAATTTTAAAAAAGAAGATGAAAATTAAAATTGCAACAAAATACCTTTTCTGCTCAGATCAAAAAGTCTGATAATAGGGCTGGGGATGTAGCTCAGTGGTAGAGCACTTTCCTCCTATACACAAAGCCATTACTTTGGTCCCCTGTACCACACACACACATACACACACAAAAGCCTGACTGTAACTGTGTTGACCTATGATAGGGTAACAGACACTGGTAAGTGTTGGAGCAGGAAATAAATTGGTACTCTTTTTGAGGAGTTATTTTAAAGACCCAGCATTTCTATTTTGAGGAATGTATTATAAGACATACATATGTGCAGAGTGACATAAGGGTATTCATTGCAGTGAAGCTCCTTGTGGTAAAAGGACCAAAATAGTCTATATTCTAAATATAGGAGATTGGTTCATAAAAGCCTGGTACAGCCATGCAAAATATTATGCAGCTATAAAATTAATGGGGGAGGGCTGGGGTTGTGGCCCAGTGGCAGAACACTTGCCTAGCACGTTTGAGGCACTGGATTTGATCCTCAGCACCACATACAAAAAAATAAGCAAGTAAAATAAAGGCATGCTGACCATCTATAACTACAAAAATAAAATTTAAAAACATGAATGAGGGAGGAATGGAGATGTAGCTGGGTAATAGAGGGTTGCTGAGTGTGTGTGAGGTCATGGATTCAATCCCCAGCACCACAGAAAAGAAAAATAACAAAAAAACTACTTAATGTAGCCATGTGTAGTGGAGGTTAATGTCAGAGGATCATCATTCAATCCAGGGGTTGAAGATCATCCTAGGCAGCACAGCAACACCTTGTCTCAAAAAACAAACGGGGCTGGGGATGTGGCTCAAGCGGTAGCGCGCTCGCCTAGCATGCGTG